AAAAGGGATACATGGATCACATTGGGAAAGAAAAATAGGTGAGATCTCCATGAGTAAACTGGGGGTGAGGGGAGTGAATAGAGGGTAGGGGATGGGAGATGAGAACATAAGGGAATGGGATGGTCGAGCTGGAACAGGAATGAAGTGGGAGAGCAATGAAAGAGATACCTTGATAGAGGGACATCATGGGGATAGGGAGAAACCAGGTCTAGGGAAGTTCCCAGGAATCCCCAAGGATGACCCCAGATTAGACTACTAGCAATAGTGGAAAGGGTACCTGAACTGTCTTACCCCAGTAATCATATCAGTGAGTACCCTAACTGTCAGCATAGAGCCTTTCTTCAGTAAGTGATGGAAGCAGATGCAGAGATCCTCAACCAAACACCAAGTCAAGCTCCAGGAGTCCAGTCAAAGAAAGAGAAGAGGAATTCTATGAGCAAGGGGCATCAAGATCACGATGGGGAAACCTACAGAGAAAATCAAACTACTGGGATTGTAGCTTTGTTATCATTTATTTAATGGCTACTATCCAGATATAAGGAAAAACACACCATATTTATCTTTCTTGGTTTAAGTCACCTCATTCAGCATGAATATTTTCTATTTCCATACATTTGTCTGCAAATGTTTTATTTTGGCTTTTAATAGCTGAGTAATACTCTATTGTGTAAATGACATTTGCTTTTCCATTCTCTCTTGGGGGACACCAAGGTTGTTTCCAATCTCTGGCTATTACTAACAGAGCACCAATCAACATGACTGAGCAAGTATCCTTGTTAAAGGATAAAGCATCCTTGAAGTATATGCCCAAGAGTGGTATAGCTGGATCTTGAGGTAGATTGATTGATTCCCAACTTTATGAAGAACTGCCATACTGATTTCCGAAGTGACCATAAAAATTTGCACTCCCACCAGCAATGGAGGAATTTTCCCCATTGTTTCATGTCCTAGCCAGCATGAACTGTTATGATCTTAGAAATTCTGACAAGTGTAAGATGGAATATCTCACTGGCACAAATGACTTTTTGAACAGAACACTGTTAAAGCAGACACTAAAATCAACTATTAATAAACAAGAGCTCATAAAACTGAAAAGCCCCTGCACAGCAAAGGACATTGTCATTCAGACAAGGCAGCAATCTACAGAATGGGAAGAGGTTTTTACCAACTCCATATCTGATAGAGGCCAAGTATCTAAAATATATAAAGAACTCATGAAACTTGATATAAAAAAAAACAACTAAATTTTAAAAATGAAGTATAGCTCTAAATAGAAAACACATATGTGGATATATTCACATTACATAGAATGGAATTCTAAGTACAGTTTTCTTCTGGTAGGTAGAGTAGTGGATATTTATTGCAATTTAAAAGCATTTTCACTTTTCTTTTTGCTTTCATTCTTCTTGAAAAATAAGAAAATTCTCTTTTGAAAACAAAATTGATTATTTAAATTTGTATTACTCATCTCAAGTTACAAGAAAGCCCCAGATTAAAGTGGTATCATTTATCAACTAACATTTGTTTGAAAAATTTTCCCCAAATTTGTTTCTCAAGATATTATTAATTATCCTATGTAAAATTGGAGAATGTTTTACCAAAACAAGCAAGCAAACAAAAACAAAAATCGAGTATAGATCCAAACAGAGAATTCTCAATAGAGGTAACTCAAATAGCTGAGAAACCCTTAAAGAAATGTTCTACATACTTAACCATCATGGAAAGGCAAATCAAAACTACTTTGAGATTCCTTGTTTTTCTAATGTCTTAAGAGAGCATCAGGCAACTGATGTGAGGCCTTGTTCCTAGTCAGTGTGTGTGTTGAGTGCATCATACTTCCTCTATGGTCTTTGCCATCTTCTCAGGGATTTGTGTATGTGGCTTACATTTTATTTGATACCATTTTCTTATAACTATGTTATTCTTGAAACAGTCTGCTTTTTTTTCCCTTTTGTTGAGAATAGTTTTTTTTCCTCACATAATATATCCTAATTACAATTTCTCTTGCCTCTATGCCTCTCAATTTCTCCCCACATCTGTTAACATTCAGATTCACCCCATTTCTGTCTCTCATTAGAAAACACTTTTCTAAGAAATAATAATAAAATAAAACAAAAAGTAGCACATTGGAATAGGACAAACAAACTGAACAAAAAGAGCCCAAGAAAAGGTACAGGAAAAATATATATGCATAAAGTGCCAGTTGTTCACACACTCAGGAATTAAAAAAAAAAAAAAAAACACCAAACCTGAAACCATTCTATATATGCAAAGGACTTGCAGAGTAAAAAGAGAGGAGAAAATATAAATAAAATAAAGACAATAACAAGAAAATTTTAAATTAAAAAAAAAGGAAAGAAAACCCCCCTTTTGACATTATAAAACATGGAAACTCCCAAAAAGCCTTTGAGTTCATTTTCTGTTGGCCAACTATTGCTGGGCATGCAGCACACCCTTAAGAGTAGTTTGTTTCCTCAGGAAGACTCCCTCGGAGCAAACTAAATTTCATCTGCAAGTGGTTAGTAATTGGAGATAGCTTCTGGATTAGGGATTGAGACCTGGGTCCATTTCTTTCTTCTTTAGGACCCCATCTTGTGCAGATCCATGCAGGCCCTGTGCATGCTGTTTCAGCCTCTGTGGGCTTATACATGCATTGATCCTGTTGATTTAGAGGGCTTTAATTTTTTGTGTGTGTGTCCTCCGTTCATTCTGGCTCTTACACTTCCTGCCTCCTCTTCCGCATGGTTCCCTGAGCCCTCAGGGCAGAGATTTAATGGAGACACCCCATTTAAGGGTGAGTATTCCAAGGTCTCTCATTCTCCGCATAATGTCTGGCTTGGAGTCTCTGTATTTTCTGTATTTGTTCCCCAGCTTCTCTGATGATGGTCTAGCCAGGTAGATGATCTATAAGTACAGCGAAATGTCATTAGCAATTATTTGATTGCTCCTTTAAAAAAATTACAGTTGGTTTTACCTCGGGTCCTTGGGCTATCTAGTCTCAGGTTCGTGGGCACCCAAGCCACATCGGGCTTCATCTTGCGAAGTGGGCTTTAAGTCAAATTCAATACTCGTTGCTTATTCCCACAAACTGCGCCACCACTGTGCTATCATGTCTTGCAGGCAGAATACCATTGTAGATCCAACAGCTTTTGCTGGGTTGGTGTTTATATTTCTCCCTTGAAAGCGTGCAAAGTGCATTCCTATACCAAAGACACTAGAACTCTAGATAAAATCTCATGGTAGGCAGTAGCTCAACTTCTCCATCTTCAGAGAGTTATATCTTTTCTTTATCAGTGGGGCTTTGCTGTGAGTTTGTGGAGAGCAACCTATAGTCTTTGCAATAGCTTGGTTGTTTTATAAATCCCATGGGACCCCTTTGGCCAACAACTCAATTAGATGTAACCCATTCATGTTACTGGAAGCTTAATTTAGTGACAAGAGATGTCAATTTGGGACTCTGTCTCCTACATACATGGAAATTTTATTTAGAGAGCCATCATATATGCATATATATTTAAGCATCATCTACTTTATTGGCTTTCCAATATCACCCCTAAAGTGCCCCTTAACTGTTTCTCCCTATTCTATCCCTCATGGCCCTCTTCCCTCCTCTTCCCTGGTTGATCCTTCCATTCAAGTGCCCCCATCCCTCCATAACTATCTATTTTATTTCCCTTTCCTAGGGAGATCTACCTGGTTTACCCTCCTCACCCCCATCTCTTACCATATATCTAATCTAGTGTTTCTATGGATTGTAGCTTGGTTATCATTGACTTAACAACCAATATCCTCATATAAATGAATACAGACCATGTTTGTCTTTCAGATTTGTCACTCAGGATGACTCTTTTCTAGTTCCATCAATTTACTTATGAATTTCATAATTTCATTTTTAATGCCTGAGTAATATCTCTTGAGGTAGTTCAATTCCCATCTTCCTGAGGGAGTCTAACACTGATTTTCATAGTTGCTATACAAGCTTGCATTCCTACCAGCAATTGATGTATTTTTCCCTTGCTCCAAATCCTAACCAGCATGAGCTATCACTTGTGTTATTGATCTTAGACATTCTGGCCAGTGTAAGATGAGATCTGAAAGTAGTTTTGATAAGCATTTCCCTGATGACTAAGGATGTTGAATATTTCTTAAAGTGATACTGTGTTCTTAATTCTTGAACTAGTCTCCAAAGAAATACCTCTGTGTTTATTCTTATAGGGAAATTTTAAAATTAATAAACAAGATGATGGCCAAGCCAAAACTGATGTCAAGTGATCTCTTCATTCTGACTTTTGCCTTTTTAAGTATTTCTTATTAAGAAATTTTTTTTTTTTTTTTTTTTTTTTTTTTTTTTTTTTTTGGTTTTTCGAGACAGGGTTTCTCTGTGTAGCTTTGCGCCTTTCCTGGGACTCACTTGGTAGCCCAGGCTGGCCTCGAACTCACAGAGATCCACCTGGCTCTGCCTCCCAAGTGCTGGGATTAAAGGCGTGCGCCACCACCGCCCGGCTTATTAAGAAATTTTTTATTCATTTTACATACCAACCACAGATCCCCCTCTCTTTCCTCTTCCCATCCTCCCTGGCCTTTCTCCCAACCCACCCCCCATTCCCTCCTCCAACATGGTAAGGCCCCCCATGGGGAGTCAGCACAGCCTGGTACATTCAGTTGAGGAATTCATACTGCATTTATAGGATGTATTCTATATTCTGTATGCTACTGCACCTAAACAGAAATTTGAGGAACACTGGTTTCAGTGTATAAAATATTGATCAGTTTTCTACTGGAGGACTGGAAGAGATTTAAGGAACCAAATCCCCAACTTTTTATAAAAGGACATTATTGTATATTCAATAACTCAATATTACATGTAAATTTGTTGAAAGTAGCAAATAACTTTAGGAGATTACTGTTTCTAAATGCCATTTAAATATATATGGAATCTTATATGTTGATTGATATTTAAGATGAACAAATAGGTAATAATAGTTTTTTCTTCTCTTTAGCTAATTCCTGTATGGACCCACCACATGTAGAAAATGCTACTATAACATGGCTATCTGGTGAGACAGTACGTTATGAATGTAATAAACCTCTTAAAATATTTGGAGAAGTGGAAGTGATATGTCAAAATGGAACTTGGACAGAACCACCAAGATGCAAAGGTAGGGCATAATATTCCCAATATTTATTTGAAACTTTAATTTACATTTTCATATTAATAACAATAATATGAGGTAATTCCTGTGAGAAGAATTTTTCAAATGCAAAAAAAAATTATATTGCTGAAATTTTATTTCTTTTGGTAAACTAATGAGGAAATATGGTAGGATATTTTAACAAAGATTTTATTAAATTAGTGGAACAATTGCAACTAAGGAAAAAATTCATCATTTTAAATCTTAAGCCACTAATTTATTTATTTGATATTAAATGTATAAAAGAAAATATACATGTTTGAAGCTTGAGAAAACACTTGCAAAATATTCATTTTGAAATGTAAATACATGGCATAATAGACTATCACCATGTAAATAAAATACAATATCTTCATCATAGTATTTCCTTGCTTCTTACTTTTTGAATACAACATATGGGAATGATTTATGAATATGTGTTGAGACATTTTTCTAAGTTCAGTAATTTCCAAATTACTTCAATAATCACATAGATTGAATATGAATTATATATCGATGAGGGACAAATTTATATCAAGTCTATAAAGAATCTTCAACTAATTAGTCTATCTCTCAAACCTCTGTCTAGATCATTTGCATGGGAAAGTTACTTGTGTGTTAAAGATATCTGTCCTTTTGTTAATTTCTGTTTGTGTTCTCTGTCCCTCAGTCTTATTTATCTTTTTTCCCTTTCTTTGAGGAGTAGTTTTCAAGAATTTTATTTTGGCATACATCTTTCATTCCTCTTGAGGGCATAATTTAAGTATGCTATCTCTAATAGTTTCCTAAATTCCTATTACTGAAGTCACCCTAGGTATTTGTGTGTATGTATCATCCTTTACTAATGCTGTCACTTTACACTTCAATGGAATCTGGAAACTGCACTTACCTTTAAAATCCATTTACCTTTCCAATTTTCAATGTTCCTGTAAAATGCCATTAGAATTTTCTCTTACAAATATTGAGCACCATTATCAAATGGCAAGTTTCATATCAAACATAAATATAACTTAACAATCTTATGATCAGGAATATCTACTATATGCCCATTCTTGTACCAGTTACTTTTCTCCTGAAGTCTTTATTTCTGGCATGATTCCAGTAATTATTTTTATGAGGAACTCTCTACTGGAGAAACATTCTCTTTCTCTTCTTTCATATGAAAATGTCTTCATTAATGTCTTTGTTTAAAAGGTTAGCACCACAGGACATAGAATTCAAAGTTCATTCACTTCCTGTGGCCTCCATGGTAGTGTATGGGAAGACGCTTTTTTTTACTCAGCTCTTGAATATGCTTAAGCATGCCTTTTACCCAATTTTTTCATTTTCCTTCTCACAAAAACATTTTGTTTGGGTCTTGAACTTTTTGCTTTTTTTTCTAAACAATGTTGGAATTCAGTTCAGTTTCATTATGCTTCTGTTGAAAACTTATTCATCAGAACATATTATCATTACCTGATTGCAGCCTTCTCCAGTGGCCTCACCATGACAGTTAGCAGTCCAAAAGAAAATCAAATCACACACCATTGTCTGGTTAGTTGATTCCTGAGTTTCTTAATCAGAATTCTCAATGTCTCCCTCCCTTCTTCATATATTGGTATTGGAGAAATTATTTTGGCCACTCCACGTAGTTAAAAGGATATTTATTTAATGGCGTAACTCACAAATTAAGTAATGGGTAGGTCGCAGGGTCTGGGGAAGTTGTAATGCAGTCCAGCGGTGTTCTCCGGAGCTCTGCACAGTCAATCTGCACCGGT